AACTACTCAAAATGAACACGATTAATTAACAAATCTAATTTGTACTGCTTCATAATAAATTCAAGTTTACACTACTACAACTTTACACTAATAGTGAAAAGTTAAATCTAGGGTTTATAGGAAGGACTCTAAAAAAGGTACCACAATAGTATCCCTGGTTAACTGTCTATAGCATGTTAGTTAAAATTGTCACTACTACCAATCAGTAGTAATTTATCTTTAACTCTTGGTTCATCTATGCTAATAAGTTTATAATAGAGAAGGAAGAAAACACTGGAGGTAATCTGGCACTGCCCCATGTATCTCCTGACTTCATATCTTGGTGTGCTCTGGCTGGATACACACAATTAGGCGTACAATCACTTTTCCTAACATTCTTTGGCAACGATTTTCCTCGGCTGCCAGAAAGATATCATTTAGATCTGGTGAGGAAGGATTCTTTATCTTCCACTTAGCTATCTTCCACTTAACAAATTGGAAAACATTTGGATAACACTGATTTTTGTGAGTGAATAAGTCAGGGTTTAACGTAAATTAATGAGTATAAAGACTTTCCTCTCATTAAGGAACATTTCCATCTGTCTTAGTCATGATTCAAGGTGTAATGCCTAATGCTTTTTTTTTTTATAGATTTTATTTATTTATTTGAGAGAGAGAGAGTGAGAGACAGAGAGCACGAGAGGGAAGAGGGTCAGAGGGAGAAGCAGACTCCCCGCTGAGCAGGGAGCCCGATGTGGGACTCGATCCTGGGACTCCAGGATCATGACCTGAGCCGAAGGCAGTCGCTTAACCAACTGAGCCACCCAGGCGCCCAATGCCTAATGCTTCTTATTTAATGTTAATACCAAATATGTACTTAAATTTACATCAAACAGAATTGCTTCTTTAGTCCAACCAAGAGTATATTGATGGCTACTACAGCAACTGACTTGAATATCTAGTGCACATTTCCTACGTGTTAGTCATCAGGTAAGTACTTTACAGTTATAAAATTTAATCCCCATTACCACCCTATGAGGTAGATATTATTATCCTAATTTTATAGATTGAGAGCATGAGGCTACAAAATGTAAGTAATTTGTCCAATATTCCGTCTAGAAAGCTGATTCCAGAGCCCATGGGATAGATGATTTGCTGCGGGGTAGAATTCATGTAAAGACTAAAAAGAGAGATGAATTTGGATAGAAAATAAGAGATTCTTAAAGACTGTCACTCTCCTCTTTCTCTTATTTCCTCCAACCCACAATTCTCCTTGAAATGAAACATTCAGGAGGCAATCGCAACAGAATAAAAATCTGTGGAGGGAGAGATTCAATGTGGTCAATGCAATGTAATTTAAATGGGTTATAAACGAACTGGACCAAGGCCAGCAAGTTTCATTTTTGGTTTTATAGGTCCAACAAGTTTTATTCATCAAAATACTCATTTGACCCAATGCTAAATGTTTTGAAAATAATACCCAAAAGACAAAGACTCCAAGCATTCAACTTAATTGCCTTAGCACTCGGAGCTAACAGGCAGAATCCTATGTAAAATAGTATTCACTTAGGTGTAAAAACCTGTAGGCAAAACTAACAATATGATTATCTGCAGGTAGGTGTTAATGAGGCCATTCAGACAGATGAGGTGTCAACAAGGTCTAGTTATTGGGGAGTGAACTTGGGTTACTATTGTGTGGTAGGGAAGCAAATTCAGGCTCTCGACAGTCAGCCATTCATAAAGCTGTTTGATATATCAGGAGGGGAAAAAAGGCATCTATCTTATTACCAATGTTTGAAAGAAAAGTAAAATAAGTGAAGATTTTTCCAGATTAGAGTTAAATATATACCATTTGAAAAAAAAACTGAGTGTGAAAAGGAAGTATTGAAGAGTAATCTCTCACAAAGAAGCTGTCTTACTCTCATACTCTTTCCTTTAAAGTCAGAACTTAATGCTTTTCCCTATAAAATTCAAAGTTACAATAAGGATTTTATGTCATTATTCTTAGAATGTTAAATATACAACCTATGGAGATCAAACATTTCTTTTTAAACACAACAGGTAGATAGAATTTAAGATTATAATTTTCAGGTAAGGATGATATAAGTGAGCACAATTACTCCCCAGTATTGCAATAAATTAGTAGAGGCACAATAAATATAATCTATAAGTGGATATATAAAAGTATCACTAAGGTTCAACGATGTGCAAATAAAGAAGCACAATACTCAGATGACAGCTAACATCTGATGGCTACTTGCATACCAAAACACCAGAAAATGCTTCTCTGAAATATATTTTTATCGTATCGTTTGTTGGGAACTGGATGGAAAAAATGCCTGGGAGAGGATGGTGGGGATGGGGCGCTTCTGACATCAGTTTAGTATCAAATAGGTAATATTACTTATTTCTTTAAGGTAATTTGAGCTTTAACCTACCTTTGGTAATTGCAAGTAGTTTTCTCTGAAATTTATGGTACTTTATTTCCAGCTTTTTAATACACTTGGAGGATTTTTATTTCTGAAGTTAAGGGGGAGGAAGTAAAAAGTATTTTCATCTGCCAATTTGGAACATTTGCCTGAAAATTTTGGCTTTTTATTTGTGAAGGTGGATCAACCATGGAAGTAATATGTGTGATATTAAATTAATCCACTGACAGGGATATATGAATTTTTAGAATTATTATAGTGATTCACAATTTATTACACATTTCAGTTAAATAGATTATAAAGGAATGTGGCTGGCTTTAGAGACCTGTATGCATACCTTCTACACCCTTCTTCCTTTCAGCCTACCAGTTATCTTATGGTACTCCAGAATTTAGTTGAGTATCACCCCAGAGTATTGGTACTTATGAAATTTACTAAATACTAAAAGAGATCTATGTCCATTGCACAGACATTGTCAACTGTGAATAATAGATATCATTTGCTTTAGTTTGCATCTTGATTTTAAATCCCACTATGTAGCCATTTTAGCTTGCAGAAAGGTTATAGCTAATGTAGTCAATAAAAGAAAAACACCTACTTAATATTTAGTGTTTCCCTAGTGTTGTGAAGTCAGGAGGCATCATTTGCAGAGTCACTCAGTGACTGATTTGAAGTATTAAGTTTGGTGCACCATATGGATGGCAAATACCTGGTCTACGCACCTCCATACTCCCTCTCCCTATCAGCCACAGCAGACCTCACTAATTTATCTTGGTAGTCTTTCTGTCTTAGATACTAACCACAGTCTTGACACATAGAACAACTTTACACTCCTATTCAACAGAGCCCTCAAGGCAACCACGAACAATTTGGCATATCCTTGGAAAGACCAATACACTGATGATCACAGACTTGGGTTATAAATTCAGCCTTGCCATTGAGGAATTAAATGGCCTCTGGTAAGTCATTTAATTTCTCTGTGGTTTGTTTTCATTCTGAAAATATGTCAGTGAAAATATAAAGATCTGATGCTATAGATTTATTCTTATGTCAGTAGAATAGAAAATGATTTTTTTTTAACTTGTAGAAGTAGTTTTAGATAAAGAACAAACATTATTAGTAGTTCAGTCAGCTCACTCTTCAGTCTAATGAAAACAATTTTTCCATTGGGATTATTTTAGGAAAAAGTGTTACCAATTAGAAATACTGCCTTTTCCATTTTTAATGCACTATTTTCTTAAAGTATATTTTTGGATGAATCTTTATTAATAAGTTAAAGTATACAGTTATTTTTGAAGTTCATCTTAAATTTATCTTCCTTCAAAACATAGAGAGAATAGTTAGAAAATTAGTCTTTCACAGAAATTTACATCATTTCAGCAAAACTTACCACTGCTTTTTAATTTTTGGCATTTTTTCCAGATATTATTATTTCCAAGAAAGTTCAGGAGGGGCAAACACTGTAGGATTAAAATGAATGAAACCCAAACTAGATAACTTTGGATCATTGAGACACCTGTTTTAATGTACAAAATTCATTACCAATTCTCTGCATTCACTATTTCCATAAAATAGTTTATATTATGTTGTTTCCACTGTTTTTGTTTTGCGTCATTTTTTAAAATGCTTTATGTTTGTATATTTTCCACAAAGAATAGCATTCCATATTAATTTCACACTATTTTTATCAAGAAAAGTCTTTTTTTTTTAAACTAAGGTATAAAATTAGAAATTTCTTCTTTATTCAGGAAGACACTATTTATTTATAAAAGTCTTAACTGTGATGTGTTCTATCAATTATAAATCAGGAAATATTATGTACAGGATCTTAAAAGTAAATTTTGGGTGAGCCAATTTAGGAATACTCTAGTCCAGAAACTAAGTACCTCAATTCTTAAGGAAATAAGCAAAAATTCTATATATGAAAATATATGACTTACATATTTAGAGATTCCTTAAGAATACAGGTAGTATCCATGCTAAATGGAAACATGAAGTTGCTCCATTTAAAAATTCTTGAATGGCCACTTCAGGATTGTTATTCATTTCCAAGGCTAACTGGTATGTGAATTGGGTCATGAAAGCAATTTTCATTGAATATTAGAGTCTAAAGACACAAATTATACTCTAGTGACAGAATATGTTTAAAAAAAAAGGCCTTGGCATATTTATATGGTAACTGGCAGACATGGAACAGCAACTTTCCCCTAAAATATGTAAATATGTATTATATCTATTCATAATCTCTATTTTTTGCAAGTCAACACTATCTCATCAAATGATTCCTAAAAGTTCAAGAAAGGTGTAGTGGTGAGTCAACCATATACCTTTATATATTTCAGGTAAATTTTAATGCCATCAACTCACAGAAACAGTGAAGTATATAGATGATGAAATATAATTGAAGAGAGAATACAAGAAGTAACAGAAAACCAAATAATTACATTGGTATCTTAACATTAATCATCTCTGATTAATCATCATCAATGAAAGGGAGTGGCTAATAGAAAATCACAGATAATCTACTTTGTGGTATTGAGTCTATGGCTTTGTGCTTAGCAGCTGAATTTCTAATTGCCCAGTGTAACTTACTGCAAATGTGTTGTGAGGATGCCCATCACCAGAAGAGTGGCCACAGACACATAATTTTGTTTCTGGAAGCAATTCCTAGATTAAACAAAGAGAATCAGGAGTTGGCTCTCCCCATCCCAATCTTAAGGCTTATGCTAATAATGTACATTATCATTTAAAAATATTTTTGGATTATTATCTTGGTAGGTGAACGTAGATGAGACTATTCCATCTTTGTGTCACAGTTAATAACAGTATAGAATTAAAAAATAAAAATAACTTGGCAAATGCAAAGTTGAATATTTGAACATAATGAATTAACCACTAACCAAAAAATTTCATAGTCTACCATGATCTTGACTCAGGAATCTCACTTCCCATTTCCCACTGCCCCTAAAATTATGGCCAATGTTAGTGAATACTCCTAAAATTTAAATGGTACTGTGATTTTAGAGTATGGGATGGTATTTGCCCTTAAAACTTTAATTACCTCTTTTTGAAAAAGCTAACTATTGACTTGTACTCAACTATAACCAATACAAATGGAACATAAATCCTGGCTTGTCATGAAATGTGAGAATAATCACAAGAATCTCTTTAAACTGCCTTAGCCATGCATTACTATAACGCAAATATTGCCATTAAATATATATTTGAGACTACGGAGCCAAACTCTACAGTCTCTGTTAAAACCTGTTGAATTGTGCCACTTGTATTGAGAACTACTTTATATACTCAAATGTATAGTTTGCATTTTTATCTGTAAAAGTAAAGTGATTATTTATTGATAAATGACATGGAATGTCATTTTTTACCTAAGTAGCATCAGACATTTCAAAGATTTTGTCTGAAGGGCAAAAGGATTACACTGCATTTGAATAGACCATGTGACAACACATCCTCAGACTTCATGTAGGATATGAAAGGATGATCCCCATTCATAAGATACACCAGGGAAATTATATCAGAAAAGAAGAAAAGCAAGGAGGGATGTGGTAGGGGTGTCAGGGAGTATTTGTAGTGGTTTGATGCATGTAAATATTACATCTTATAAATAATTCTTTTCAAATACATATCTGAAGTTCAGGGTCTCTGTTTAAGAAACGATTGTATATGCTTTACATGGCTATATGCCATTTTCTGCAAGATAAGAGCAACATTAATTCAAACAGGAAAAATGGCTTCCAAAATAGTCCTTTCCTTTCGTTTCCTATGAAGAAGTACGTTACCTGATGCTGGCAGATGAAGACTACAGGGTGTGGGGGGGCAATGTTCAAGTTATATTTTACTGTCAGAATCCAACAAACACATTTTCATATAAATTATTTTGTCAACAGCCTTGTAGTACCCTTGCTAACCTTATTTGGCACCAGTGCATAATTAGATACACAGGGGTGTGACTCCAATTGAAGGTGTTGGCATTGTAGCACTCAGTGAAAATATTAACTATGAGGTTAACTCCAATTTTCTCTTCTTTAATTAAATGCACATGGTACTAATGAGGTAACCTACTGTTCCTTGATAGCACTAATTAGCTAAGAGGAGAGTACACTCTCACACTGCAATTTAAACCTAAAAATAAGGTTGAAATATGCTAATTGCAGGCAATTTAAAACAGTACAAGTTGAAGAACTAGTCATAATAAGAGAAACTGACTGCTTTACAGCTAGGCAGCTGTAACTTTGGTTAAAATCAAAACAAGCCACATGATTTTTGGACTGCTATTTAACAAGGTCATAAGCATCCTAAAAAAATGAAATACTACTCTAAACCATAGCAATGAACCAGACTCACAAAAAATCCTCAGATCAACACTCATCTGCATAAGACCAAAAATAAGTGAGCAGCACCAGAACTCCAAAGGTGCTATGACACTATTTACATTTAATACTAAAAACTAAACTCCATAAAGAAGCAACATCACCTTAAACTCTTTCAAGAGCACCCAAATTAAATAAAATATTGTACTTCGTGTCTCCAATATACTACCAAACATACTGGAGTGATGAAGATTTGCCATCTCAATCACAGGGTCAGAAGGGAGGATACAGACGGGAGTAAGTCTCAGCACTTGAGGAATATACAAACAGGAAATTGCCAGATAATGTACAAGTACAGTGATAAAAATACAAAAGAGATGCTATGGAATAAAATGGTGTAGGGACTATTTAAGGATATCAGAAGCATTTCATTATAAGAAGGAGATTTTGACTACATTTCTCTACAGATTAGAGCTCTGCGATGAAAGCAGCCTGGAGCTTCATGTTGAGAGCGAATGTTCTCCATTCTCCGCTCAAATGACTTAGAACTATGATTTCAATGAATTTAAGTATAATCCAACTGTATTTTCTTTAATTGCTTTTCAAACATTTTCCAAATATGATTTTAATTGATAAACAATGAGATAAACTTTAATATGAAGCACGATTCTGAAAGACCTTCAGAATCACTAAAATATAAGTTCTCATTGTGCAAAGTATATTTTCATTATTTTGTATTTTTTTAAGATTTATTTATTTATTTTAGAGAGAGAGAGAGAGAGAGAGAGAGAAAGAGGGAGAGGAGGGGTAGAGGGACAGAAGAAGAGGGAGGAGAGAATCTTAAGCAGATTCTCTGTTGAGTGCAGAGCCTGATGCAGGGCTTGATCTCAGGACCCGGAGATCATGACCTGAGCCAAAATCAAGAGTCTGATGCTCAACCGAATGAGCCACCCAGGTGCCCCAATTTTCATTATTTTTTTGATTCCATAGGATCATAATGTCATATTTTTATTAACCAGAAACTGACTAATCAAAACACTCGCTGACTGACAATGCCAAAGCATTCTTATTAACACAGACAGAAATAAAGCACATTAAATTAGTTTATCCTTAGGGACAAGAGAGATATGGACTGCCCCACACTGAGGACTCACAGTGACATTTTTTTGCCCCTGTCACTTTGCATGCAAAATCATAGAATATATACAGTTTAAACAATCAAAAGAAAGCAACTGAGTAAGCAATAAAAATAGAGTTAAAAAGTAAAATTTGTGAAAATGGAAAGCTAACTTAATTTTAAAGTTTACTGGGTGCCTGGATGGCTCAGTCAGTTAAGGGACCAACTCTTGATTTTCGCCCCGGTCATGATCTTGGGGTCATGGAATAGAGCTCTGAGTCGGGCTCCGTGCTGAGCATGGAGTCTGCTTAGGATTCTCTCCCTCTCCTTCTGCCACCTCCACCCCCTGCACTATATGTCTCTCTCTCTCTAAAAAAACCCCTTAAAGTTTACTGAAGAACAGTAACAGAAGAAAGTGAATCATTTGAAAAACAAAAGCTTTTAACTACCAACTTATTAATAACTCCTGGAGTTAAAAGTATGTGAGAATAAATTTTGCACTACCCTTAGCCCATCACCATGTCTTGCCAAAAAACTTGGTTGAAGAAACCCACGTTTGAAAAACCCACCCAGCTTCTTCTCCTGGCTGTCCTAGAGCTTTCTACAACAGAAAGTGATAGAATATTGGCAAGAAAGGCTAATAAACCTCTGATCAACCATGCTTTAATAGATTCATGAAGTTGTAAGTCTGTAAAGAAATAGCAAGGCGAATGAAATCAGACAATCATTTAGAAATGGGTCTCCTAGCGGCAACCTGACATATTCTAGCAAATCGCAGGGAAATACAATGTGAATGTATGTTTTAAGTGTTTGCATCTGTTTCAAATAAGCACCAAAGAACCTTTTAACAGTGAAAAGGCCAGGACAGGGTACAGGAATGAGCTTTTAATATTAACTTCAGAAGGAATCCATTCTTTAGTTAAATATGGATCACTGTAATTTCTGTTAAAACAATAAAAAGTAAGTCATTTAGTGTTGAAAATAAAAATACTAGTCTGGAGACAGTCTGATGGGGTTCAGATCCTGACTCAACACTTATTAGTGGTGTGACCTTGAGCAAGTTATTTAGCCCCTCTTGGCCCTTCTCTCTAGACAGGGGATGATAAGTAACACCATCATAAGATTAAACATTAATTTGTATCTAGAACAGCGCTGGTACTCATATACTTTGTTTATTAACTGTGTACTTAATATTTATTAGCTCTCATTACTGCTTCAGAACAATATTCAATTTTTTTCAAATAAAAATATTATGAAAGTCCTACTATGTATGCATTATTACACACTGTAAAGTATGCACAAATTCTCAAGACATTATGTCTGCATACAAATAGCTTTCAGTCTCTCATTAGACTTCATGATACAAATCAAAGCCTCTTTCACATGAACAAAAAATATTTTAACTACGGAGATAAAATATCTGTACTCTGAAACCTACATAACAGTGATAAAAGAAATTGAGCATGACACAAATAAATGGAAAGATATACCATGCTCATGGATTGGAAGAACTGTTAAAATGATATTACCCAAAGTAATCTACAGATTCAATGCAATCCCTATCAAAATACCAAGAGCAGTTTTTACAGAAAACAAATCATCCTCAAATGTATAGGGTACCACAAAAGATCTTGAATAGCCCAAGCAAACTTGAAAAGGAAGGACAAGATGGAGGTATCACAATCCCAGATTTCAAGCCATTCTACAAAGCTACAGGAATCAAAACAGGATGGTATTGGCACAAAAATAGACACAGATCAATAGAATGGAACAGGGAGGCCAGAAACAAACCCACACTTATATGGTCAATTAAACTGTGACAAAAGAGGCAAGAATAAAAAATGGGAAAAAGAGAGTCTCTTCAACAAATGGTATTGGGAAAACTAGAAAGCTATATACAAAAAAAAAAAGAAGAATAAAAGAAAAGAAACTGGACTTTCTTACACCTATAAAAAATATAAACTCAAAGTGGATTAAAGACCTAAACATAAGACCCGAAACCATATAACTCCTAAAAGAAAACACAGGCAGTAAACAGTTGGACATCAGTCTTAGCAATAATTTTTTTTTGGATCTGTCTCCTCCAGCAAGGGCAACAGCAAAAATAAACTATTGGGACTACATTAAGCTAAAAGCTTTTGTACAGTCAAGAAAACAATGAACCAAAAAGGCAACCTACTGAATGACAGAGGATATTTGCAAACGATATATTCAATAGG